TGGAAACCAGAAGGATGACTGAGGATTTTCATGTTTCCGGGAGGATTGCGCTCAAATTATAAACCGAGAAGTAATGACTTAACGTACCATCATGGCATCTACCTGGAATGAATTCCACCACTGATTAGTAACGTTTCGGCCACTAATGTATCCTCATTTGCTGGCAATTCTTTCTATCACATTCAGCGTTTTTTCTCCCTGGGGACTAACTAACCAACTAATAACACTTACTTATCGTCTTTTTGACGAATTTTTGAGGAAGGTTTTTCACCGTTGGTCATCTTTTCGTATAAAATAATGTTGCACACAATGTACATTTGCTTACTCTGTCCGAGAATTACGCGTGGATGTTTTATAATGTTTTTTTTTCTAATTTTCAGCGACAGCGTCCTAATAGGTGATAGATAAATGGAATTTATTTGCTGTTTATTTGGTATGTCAAGGGGAGGAGCAGGCAACCGCTTAGTGATATTCTCCTCATTTCTACCATATATATGTCAAGGCATCTCCTGATGCTTTCTATCTATGGTGATATCCCAACGTCTGCCGTGGGACATTTCATCGTTTGGCCACACCGACAGAATTTGTGAACTTCTGCGAATGCAGACTGTCCTGCTGAATGTGTAATTTTAGTTGGCGACCTCGAAGGTTAGCCGTGGTAGCCGATTCAAAAAGTCCTCAAACGCCAGGCGGCATTCCGATCCCTGAAAAATGTGCAATCCACATAATAGATCTTCGTGCAGTTGCCTTTGATTTAAGAGAAGGAGGCCGAGATTTGTTTGGCGGTTAGCCTAAGAAAAGGAGATCTAACCCCTAATCATTTTCGATGTTTTCCTTCGAACTCTTTCCACACTACTTTGACCTCAAGCGGCCCATGGCCTATGGGCTTGTGTGATGTAGTACAAATGCGGCCGCAGGAATGTTTCAGGGATGTTGCAAAAACATCATCGTCAAAATTCACAAATTCTTGATTGCTGGCGTAAAAAACGAACATTGCGCTTTTGCCACTTTCGAGAGACGAGTGAACGGTTTCAAAAGTTCGTCGTCAGCACACCGAAGTCACTTTATGCGTTCGCGTCTCGTAAAGCTGTACCGTCGGAAAGTGTTTTCATGTGCTTACGGATTTGACTGGGTTGCATGTGCAAAGTATGGCGGGTTTGCCCACATTAAACCGCATGAATCAACGACTTGAGCATTTTTTTAACCGATATAGGCTCATATGCAGTCTATCGTCCTCGATAGGGCACTGAATTACATTCCATAGTTCCATGTCGACGGGAAACGTTGCCGCTTCGCAGTCCAAAGTTCTTATACAAATGTCCACGTATGCTTAGAACGAAATTAGTCCCGGTTTTGGGCATTAGGGAACAACACCCTCGACCGAACCAAGATCTGATTTCTCTAGATCGATGAACACAACCTGTTGCTGACCCATAAGAAAGTTTGCGATACACTTGAGGAGGTTTTCTTTGATGTCTATTTGTTCAAACTTACACAGCAGTCTCTGGTGTGGTGCGGTGTCGAGCGCCTTTTGGGAGTCAGTGAAAACGACTTGAAGTGTGTGCCAGTCGTCAAAAGCTTGGATTAAGCTCCTAAGAGATTACAGAAGGTCTGCCGTCGAGGATCTTCCTTTCCTAGACCTGTGGTGGTAGTTTGATGACAAGTTGTGAACTAGGAATTTCATCAAATTGCTCTTCGGGATCCTCTCTGTAATTTGAATAAGGATGTATGTCACGCTTAAGGGCCCGTAATTAGTTGTCGACGTCCCGCTACCGTGCTTGTATACAGGAGTTGTATGCGCCGGCTCCCAATCAACAGAAAGTGTTTCGGTGACAAGCGAGGTTTAAAAAGGCGTCGACAGAGATATAGAAAACAAACTTGCAAGTTTTTGAGAAGCGTGTGAGGAATCTAACCTTGTCCTGGGGACCCCAATTAAGTCAATGACTCTGATCATCTTCAGATGCGATACTATAAAAAAGAGTAAATCGGTTATGCTTGGAGTCAAAAGTTCTTCGGCGGAACGAACTTCGAAATGTCTGTATAGGTCGACTGGAAAAACTGAAAAATACGCGACCTTATTGAAGCAATCAGCAATTGCAACGCCATTGGAAGTTTTTATTGAAGGACATTGATGTCTGATCCTCGTACTTCTTCTGAGGCAACTGTGGAGTAACTTGGGGTTCTGCGTTGCATTTTGCAGCAAATACAGCTCTAATTCCCGGTGCGTCTTAATGGCAATACTTCTCAGCTTGTTTCTATGTTTTTTGTGATTGTTGAAATATTCGACTCGCCTAGTAAAGCAGTATTTTCTCCACAAATTATGCTTTTTTTTAATTTCTCTCCTTACATTTCTATTTAGCCAGGCAGGCCGCTTGTTCTTTCTTACACTCATCACTGGACAGTTATTGCTGACGAGCTGCAGGATTACATTCCTGAAGAACTTCCGGCATCGTTGGCATTGCCCGTAAGCACTGAGATCTGTCCGAGACCTGAGAAACCTGTCCGCCCCGCCAGATGTTACTAGAACTAAATCCGGACAGTTAGCTCTTTGCCTACACGCGTCTTTGTCGGAAACATTCTATGTCATGTGCGGATCGCCTTTAATATTTTGTATAGCAAACGGCAGTAGGAAGTCGATTTTAGTGATGACGCGTGAACAGCGCTCCAGTTAATTTTTGGTGCGTTGAAGTTGCCCATGATCATTTCAGTTGGGCAGACCAAAATGTGGTCAAGTTTAAAGGTATGACATGGCATGGTTGTTTTGCAAGAAAATCAGTGAATTGAATTTGCAGAAATGCGACTAACATTTAAGAGTAATGGCGGTACGATTACGGAGCATTTAGAATAAACGGCATTAAATAGTTATATAAAAGCTTAGGAGTATTACTAAGGACGCAGTCATAGTGCACCCGTTTCACGGGAAAAATTCCCTTTACATGGCAAACATTAGTGTCCTTGGTGCGGAATCTACACGAATGGCCTCTTCAGAATGTACGTATTTTAGTTCAGTTCAGTTCAGTTTATTGAGGGAAACAGGCGTAAGCCTTTGAGTACCCAATTTGCAATGTAAAAAATGTGTGGTGTACAGATAGATGTTCTGGGCTGAAATAGTTCGAACACGCCCATAATGGTGGAACAAAATGAGAAGGAGTTACAGGGGGCGAGCTCGAATTCTCATCGCTCTTGGCCATTTCGGAACATTAATATGTCCAGATTCTTCTTAAAACTTTGTATAGATGGTGACATCACAACATCTGCGGGAAGTTCATTCCATGGTTTGACCACCCGAGCCAAGAAGGAGAACTTCCGCACATCCAGCCGTGCCTGCTGAGTGCGCAGTTTTAACGGGTGACCTCGGAGGTTGGTCGTGGTAGCAAATTCAAAAAAGTCCTCGAAGGCCAGACTGCAATCCAACCCCTTTACAATGCGGAAGGCTTGCAAGAGATCCCCGCGAAGTTGCCTGTAACTCAAAGGAAAGACCTTCAGATTTACTAGGCGAGTTGCATAAGGAAAGGTGCTTTGACCCCTAACCATCTTCGTGGCTCTCCTCTGGACTCTTTCGAGGCAGTTTTGATCCACAACAGCCCACGGCCTCCAAGCTTGTATGCCGTACTCTAAATGCGGCCGGACGAATGTTCCGAATGTCTTAGAGAAAGGTTCTTCGTCAAAGTCCATAAACGCACGCTTGATGGCGTATAGTACGGACATTGCGCTTTTTGCCACCCTCTAACTGTGGGTGGATGGTGTTAGGGAACTCATTGTATGCACACCGAGGTCCTTTTGGGCTTCGACCTCTTGTAGGGCTGCACCGCTCAGAAAGTAGCCTCTTGTGCTGGCGGATCTGGCTGTGTTGCCTAGGCGAAGTATGCTACATTTGGCAACGTTGAACCGCAGGAGCCAACGGTTTATCCACTCCTCCAACCGATTCAGGTTCATCTGCAGTCTGTCTTCATCGGCAGGACCCGAATTACACTCCATATCTTCATGTCATCCGCAAACATTGCTACTTCACAGTCTTAATCTCTTGCGGCATCGCCCACGTAGATAAGGAACAAAATGGGTCCCAGAACGGAACCCTGAGGGACACCACTATCGACCATAGCCGGATCTGATTTTCCCCGACCGACGCACACAACCTGCTGTTGACCCACAAGGAAGTTTTCGATCCATTTAAGGAAGTTGCCACCGATCCCTATTTTTTTTCAGCTTATGTAAGAGCCTTTGGTGTGGCACAGTGTCGAAAGCCTTCTGGAAGTCGATGAAGGCTATGCAAACCGCGTGCCTGTCGTCGAGAGCTCGGGTCCAGCTCTGGAGAGATTGCAGCAGGTTTGTCGTGCAGGATCTTCCTGCTCGGAACCCATGTTGGCATTTCGATAGCAGGCCGTGAACTTCCAGGAATTGCATCAGTTCAGTCTTTATGATCGTTTCCATAACTTTGCAGAGAATGCATGTCAAGCTTATGGGCCGGTAATTTGTCGTCGCTGCCCTGTTACCTCCTTTGTGTAGCGGAGTAATATGCGCCAGCTTCCAATGGACAGGAAGTGTTCCAGTGTCAAATGACGTTTGAAAGAGCATCGACAAAGGCACAGAGAGCTCACTGGCAAGTTCCTTCAGAAGCTTGGGTGGAATCTCGTCTGGTCCTGGCGACTTCGATTCGTTCAATGCCTCTAATTCTCTTCGGACAATGCCTTCTGAGAAGAGTATATCACTGACGCTTGGAGTCGGCAGTTCTTCTGTGGAGTGAGGAAGGAACCTTGCCTCGTTACTCTTTAAGTTAGTACACGTGGTCCACAAATATATGTTCTGTTATCCAGTTCGCGAGGACCTTTCGGTCGATTTTAAATAACGGAACTACGTGACTCGTTTTCATTTTGAAAAAGGTGTGCAGAATATGCTGACTGAAATCAATATGATTGATGTAGCGATTTAAACGCCGCGACTTCGGTAACTGACTTTGGTTGGCGCGCACATTGTTTTCGATTTTTGCGCCTTTTTGACCGATGGAACGCGCAGAGAAGCCGAAGCCTAAAGAGATTCCCAACGTTATCACAGACATTAAAAATCGAAAGACATACATTAAGGGCAGATTCCTTGGGAAGGTGTGTTGATTATTTCTCTTTTGAGTCCTCAGGGTGGGTTCGCACGGTGCTGGGAACTGATTGACAAAGATACGCACGATAAGTATGCAGGCAAAGTCGTGTGTAAAAACGACCTCGTCAAACCGTCACAGAAGCAAAAAATGCAGCAGGAGATTATTATCCATTCTTCCCTGAAACATGAGAATATTGTCAACTTTCACCGGTCATTCGATGATAGCAGCAACATCTACATACTACTCGAACTGTGTACTCGACGGGTAAGTGAATGTGTGAATTAAGGTATCTTTGTAGACATTAATGGAGTTACACAAACGAAGGAGACACATTACAGAGCCTGAAGCTCGTTACTTTGTCAGACAGACTGTTAACGGCTGCCAGTATTTGCACTTGAACAACATTATTCACCGAGACCTTAAACTAGCCAACCTCTTCTTAAATGACGAGATGGTGATAAAAATAGGAGATTTTGGTTTGGCCTGTAAAATATCGAATGAAGGAGAGAAGAAGAGAACACTCTGCGGCACACCAAATTACATAGCCCCTGAGATCCTCACGAAGCATGGTCACAGCTTCGAAGTCGACTCGTGGTCTATCGGATGTATATTGTATGTCTTTGCCTCTCTTACGCTTTATCGTCCAGATATACTCTGCTTGTCGGTCGTCCCCCGTTTGAGACATCGAACCTTAAAGAGACCTACGAAAGGATTAAAAAGAATGAATACTTAATCCCTCCCGGGGTCTCCGTGCCGGCTTCGAGACTCATCCGGGCCCTTCTAGACGCAGACCCGTCCAAGCGGCCAAGCATGTTTAGTGTGATAGAACATGAATTCTTCAAGGGATTCACTCCGAATTGTTTGCCTGTTAGCGCCCTTACAACTAGTCCTCGGTTCGACAACCTCTGTCGGAATCTTGCCGATAGAAAGCCTCTGTCGGTAATCGACGCCAATTTGAATATGTCTGCAGTAAATTTGGACGCAAATCGTGACTGTGATTCTGATGACTTCTGGTTAGGGTCTCTCCAGAAAAAGGTATACTTCATTCACACTTGATGGTCTTTGTAGATAAATGAGGTAATTACTGCTCCCAAAACGACCAGGAATTCCCTCAAAGCAATGGAAGACAGTGAAGATCCAGCCAGTATACCCATCTATTGGGTTTCAAAATGGGTGGACTATTCGGATAAATACGGGATTGGATATCATCTTTGTGACAGTTCGAATGGCGTTTTGTTCAATGATGGAACCCGCCTGCTTCTGACGGCTAATTCTGAGAATCTGCAGTATATAGACAAAGGTGGCACGGAGTACCTGTACACCATGGTTGATTATCCCAACTCCTTGGCCAAAAAAGTGACCCTTCTCAAGTGTTTCACTTCTTACATGCATGAAAATCTGCTAAACGTGAGTCTTATTGACTTTTGGTGTTTTGCTGCCATTGTCGCTGGTTTCTGCCAGGAAAACCGGTTTAACTCCTTAGCAAGTCTTTATCAAAAGGCTTCCCGTAACTAAACGCCATACCTGTCAGTGTATTTAAAACATACCGATCGGGACCAGTGAAGTGTAGGCTGGTTATTGGGATTTTTGCAGGCCATTCTTAGCCGACCTTTCCGTACCATTTTTTGGAATTTTTTCGCTGTGCACCTCGGGCTACGCATAAAACGTTTCCTCAAAATCGCGAAGCCTTTCCGCTCTTTGGTTATTAAATCCCTTCACCGCCTAAACTATGCAGAGTAACTAAGTCTTCCCGTCATTCCACTTAAAGTGCAGATTCTGCCAGCCACCCACCACTACTTCGTGAAGACAAGGTTTTCCGATGAGGTGAGCTCAAGCCGTTTCAGGTTGGACAGGCTGTACACTTCCCACTATTCTGTGGGAACAGTTGGGTTTACTCACTTATGTTCATTACCACTAAAGTCTCGACTTGTTTCAGAAGTGAAGTCTCTGCACCAGACTTTAACCGTCTCGTGTCATTTCTATCGAATAATTGCTTGTGAAATTCAGTGGCTGTACCTTCTGTCAAACCTGTAGTAGCGACCCGCCGTTTCTCTTGCCGCCATAGTCTGTTATTAGCAGCGCAAGGCCCACATACCTGGTTGCATCATTAAGGTTAGTCGGTGTAGATGAACTACGTTGCCACCTTGTTTCTTAGGAATATTTTGAGTTCGGTGATTAGCCTAACTACAATTCGCACTTAGCCTCCCTGGACTCCTCGTTTTTGCATATGCGTCATCTATTCCGGTCATATTAGCTATTTATATGACATGAGAAGTCTGAGAGACCGATTGTTTTTACACGAGAGTACAGACAGGCCATGTCAGCTAGAAATAACTCACTTCCGTGCGCGCTCTGTCATTTCTCCTGATCATATTAGGCTCAAACGTCATCTCTCCCTCTGATGACCTGTCATTGTACAATAGACACTAGATCCATATCTTCCTGGCTGTCTGAGATTGCGTCCTAATGCAAGAGAGGCATAGAGCTCCTGGAGATAATAGGCAACGATTTTAAAACGGTCAATTATTGTGGCTCAGGAAGAAACCTGCCCGATTTGAGGGCGTGCCTTCACAGCCATGAAACAAGATAAGACATGTTTCAAATGTTCGGACTCCCCCATAGTCTACTCCGTGGTTGGCAGTCTTCGTGCGCTCCAAGGAGCCTTCTTTGTCCGCGCTATTTGCAGCCGTAAGGTGATAAACTGTTTTAGCCTGGATTGACGTGACGATATTGCATCAGGTTATCAGACTTATGACTAGACAAAATCGACGAGTGGACAATTCAGGACAGTCTAACGGCTAACTTCAATTTTTCAGACAAAATGTTTTTTGTGGAACGGTCACCAGTGTACTAAACCGGTTGGATTGGACCAGATAAGTGCACTTACCCATTTCCAAGTGTTAGAAATGCCACGTATCAGCACCGCGTCACGTTCCTAGACTATCAGTGGACCTTACTAGCTACCGTTTAGATCTTTTAGTAATGAAATTGTCCCTCTAAATGTCGAAAGTGGCCTTGTTTAAGATCCTCCAAGAAACTTGTATTGTGGAGACCGATGTCTCCGACAATAGAAAGTCCATGGGAAATAGCCATTCGTAACGCGGCCCGTGGATTTATGACTAAATCTGCACCACAAGACGGACTGTCGCAAATCGCCAATCCTGATATCAGCGAACCCTCGTCCCCGATGGGCCTAAAACGACTTTAGATGCAGTCCCTCGGAATGCTGTGTAGATTTGCCTCCGTAGCAAGATATGCGTTTACTTCATGTTCCCAACGTCGGTTTCAAGCGTTAAAAAGATGCCGTGACAAATTCGCAGACAGTGGATACCGACGATTCTCGCCATTGTTCTGAGCATCATTCTCGGACGTAGTGGTTGGTTTGATATACACCTAGGGGTTATCGGTATGGCGTTACGTTTGCGAAGGGGATCGCCTTGCAGCTAAATGTTGATGGTGTCCACCTACACAACAGCCCCTTCCACCACTAACGCCATGCCATTCACCTCCTTATAGGAAGATCCGCTTATTCTTAAAGGTATAGATTGGGTCGGGTCTACACTTGGACAGGTACGGTATTTCGTTAGACCTGGTTAGTTATAAATTAATTTCCTGGTCTGAAGATGCCCGTGGCACCTGCGTTGGCTTCCGTTACGAGTGCGGCGTTTACTTGACGGCCAGTAGTATTCGCGATGTTAGGGTTCGATTCGCATTGCCCATCGAAGTAAAAGGGGCCAACTGCTTCTATTCATAAATGATTGAAAGCTATGCCGTGCATAACCTGGATCGGTTGCACGAATAAACCACAAATTCCTCATCGCATGTCTTCCTTGCTGAATAGACCAGGTCCGCCTCACCGGTATCCCCCCACAAACCTCTGCAGTATGCCACATGGGTTACTCCGGGAAGCCAATTTGCCTGAAGGTTATACTGTTAATGACGGGTTGGGCCGTAAAGAAACCGATTTATCTTCACAATGTGTTGGGAACTACATTTTTGATTGTGCTCTAATCTACGCCTGACCGGGATACCGACATGCTCAGGGCATTCATGCGCGAGAGGTGCCGATTTTTCATTCTTACTGAAATAATGGAAAATTCAAGAAGAATCCCTGATAACTTCAACTCCAACCGAAATGCATCTGTCAAGGCACCCAATTAACAATGAACACCCTTAATTAAGTCAAAATAAAAGAAGTGTTGGGAGTAATATTGTGCTGGAAGAAAAACGAATTTTGTTATTAAAAGCAAGAACACTGAAAACGCAAATGATTGCCGTGCAGAAGTACGTACTACCCGTCCATTCAATTGGGTGAGTAAAACAGTCAAAGCACAACGTTGAGAAGCCCCTTTGAATAGTTTTTACGCGGAATATCCTCCGATAAGTGGTATAAAATGCGGCATAGTAGCTAGAGAACTGCTTTATATTTAATGCCTGAAAACGGTATTATTGGAGTCCGGTGCGAATTTTTCGATTTTGCATTGCCTGAACTGTACTTGGCTGAGACAGGGGACAGGGGTGTCACAGGGATAGAAGATCCCACAAGGTCGCTGACAAATAACGGACTATAAACAATGTATAATCACGGCCATATCATTTTCTGAGAAGAATTTTTCTCTGAAATTACTGTACTTTCTTGTTGCTGTGAAGTCCGTTCGTTTACAAAGCATCCCTTACGTATCAGTGGACGCTAAAGTTTTCAATGTTTTCGGTGGATTGCCCGAAAAGATTGTCTCTTCAGCTCTTTTTTTTTCAAAACTTTCGAAGTCAGACAAATTTCAAAATTTTGCCCATGTGGAGAGTTCTCAAACCTTCTGCATATGGCAGTTGGTGTCATGTCTGTATGTGAATCTTGATAGACAAAGTAAATGAATGTCCGCAGCGAAGGCATGCAAAAAACGCCTTGTCATGTCTATGTCGGACAGACTTTCCGCTGTTATTAATTCGAATGGACAATCTACAAAGTACTACTTTTTTGTATCTGTTTCTGTCCTTAATTATTTTTGACCTTTTATGCGCCCTCCTCCTTTATACGTCTTCATACGTAGCCTTTATTAACTTGGTTGTAATATAGGCGTTTCTCGAAAATGTGACTTTTGTCGAAAATTATTTATTTTTATCTCAGTAAATAATATTTTCTTAACCAAACTTTGCTTTATTTCTTTAACACATCGTTTATTTTCCGCTATCAGACTTTGGGAGCCGTAGTGTTTACCGATTTTGCGTTAAAGTCGTTAACCTGTGTTAATTCGTGACATTTCATGAGTTAGCACAGGTACTGTATATTTTCTACCATAAAAAAAAACAAAATCATTTTCTCGCTCCACCGTAACGGTTTCTACTTTACTTCGTTAATTCCAGGTTCCATGATATGATTATAACTGCACAAATTCATCTTAGATTATGTAAATGCATCCGAAGACGACTGACCCGATGCCCGTTCCGGTTCATAACTGCCTAGTAACTGAAAATGAACCGCACTATACGCTAAAAAGTTAAGTTGGCCTTTCAGTGGTACCCATTTTTACGATTACTTCGAAAACATTTGATTATGTTTGGGAATTACGGGTTCGGTAAACATATTGTTAGCGTTCCTAGTAAGTTGCAGACCAAAATGGCCAGATTTACAAACCACTCTTTTTTAAAAGAGACTCTCTGAAAACAACATGCTTACTTACAACATGACTCACCGAGAAGCTTCAGGCGACAACTACCTGCGGGGCAGACAGTAGATAAAACCGAACAGGCGAGTTCAAAGAAGCAGTTCAGAAGAAGAAAATGCGATCACTGGAACAAGAAGTTTATTGGCCGGATGTTTCGTATTCTCACTCGATCCCCTTATCAGAGAAATTCGCGACTGTCTCTTGCATTAGTTTTCCACAGGATAGTGTCAACATTCCTCAGCGCAGTCGATCGCTCGAATCACTCGCGAACCCACCGCAGTGTCGCCAGATAAGCGGTCGCGGATGTTCGGTCGACAGGTGCCATGTGCGCTTTAGTTGTTCACCCCGTCCCTACACACCCAGCGGTTGCATTGATTAGCCCATACATATACGCTTACGCGATGGGTTTGCTAGAACAGCACAGCCTAGGTTCCCCTGACACCAGCACACGTCGCGTCGACGCAACCCGTGCAGGGCCTTGTCGGTCATGTGTGTATGTATGTTAGCGATACACCCATCAGGGATGTGAGCACATTTGTTGTCGGAATAACGGACAAAACACCGCGCGTGGATCAGTGCGTCGCTCACTAATGGGAGATGTGAATTTGGACAAGGACCGACTCAGAGGATGCGAAGGATCGGCGCGTGGGTGGCGCGCGTAGACGGTGGCTTTGAAGCCACACCAGACCCTGTGTCCAATGCTATCGCCAGGTAGCTTGATTCAGGCGACGGGCGCGTAGGAGAAGGAAGGGAGTTAGGCCAGTCGGGCGATTTATTTGCATTGCAAACGGGCAAGGATTCCTTAAAGCTGTGGCAACAGGCCAAGAGAGTTGCTGACTGAGTTGGTAAGTCAGTCCTACACAGCACTGAGAATGAGATCGAAACAACTCTTTCTGAATGTGCCCGTTACTAGACTAATGTGAAGTGTCAAGCTCCCCTCTTTTCGGAAGACTTGTTCGGGTGAAGATAGGGGCAGGGTGGTGCGTTCCATCTTCAGACGGACGACTTGGCTTCGTTGGGTACTGCACCCGCGCCCTCATCTACTCTTATTGTTTTTGTCTTGTCATGGTGAATGTGAGGTAGATGCTGCACGGGTTTTCCTTAACATGAACGCAATCAAGCCCAACTTATCATTTCGCCCCTGTAATAAGCATAGAACTATACATGTACCTGACCGACTGAAGCATCGGCCGGTATCCTAGATTTCGATTTCGACCGCAGGCTTTATTTGGGTTGATGGTACGTGTCCCATTTTACTTTTGACTATTGCATTGATTGCGAAGATGGTCGAGGTTTTCGGCAGATAACCAGTAAACAGCGCCTTTGCAGCCAACTTGCATGCCTTCGAAAAGCCTGCCGTTAACGATTTATTCTGGCTTTTTACCCAATCTGACCACACTTTACTACTGTGGGCCTAGCACACGTCCTGCTGTTTGCCTCCCAGTACATGTGTCGTAAATTTTGGTTCTTCCTCATTTTTGTTTTAGGCTGGGGAGAACATTACTCGCCGCGAGTCTGATAGCATGGCCAGGCTTCCCTTCCTCCGTAAATGGTTCCGAACAGACTTGGCCATTATCCTGCATCTTAGCAATGGCACTCTGCAGGTTCGTGTGCGACTTCTGTTATGCTGCCCGTTTTAATTTCCCTGGAAATTCATGCGCGAACTTACATGACAATCACATTTTTGCCAGAACGTCTGGTAAAACGTCTAGGCTTACTTCCTCTCCTGCATAAAGTTCCATGATCACACCTCACTTGTCATAGTCGGGATAGAATTTATGATTTAGGGTAACCCACAGAGCTACATGTCGACGCCTGACTCACTCATTGGAATAGCAAGTAAATTTTAGACAGCTTTGTCTGATTATCATTCATTCATGAGAGCATTTCTACATGCGACTCCCCGCCACCCCAGTTACATCCTCGACTCAAATGTTTTAATCAATTTTGGGGGACTTCTCCGTGTTTTTTTTAAGTTAGTCGACTCAAATTGTAGTGGCATTGGGCCACAAACACGAGCGTCTGTTACAGCAGACCTAATTGTGGACTAGACGCGCGCATGGCACAAATTGATGACATGTCAGCAATTACGCTCCATCCTGTCCCCACATTTAGCTTCACCCGGTCTTGCCACTGGCAGACAACGAGAAGAAGGCCGTAGTAAGCCGCTTCCTTAGTGATACTTTCTCACTGTTTGACACACTTTCGACCTATCGTGGCACTTTACCCGCCTTAGCTCGACAGGTTGCCTGCCGACGGGGTTTTAGAGACCGAAGGTCATACTGCAGTGACTCCTTAATATATCTCTGCGTCGTTGTGAAATCCGAGTTAATAAAAAATGATTCATGTTAGTCGAAGGATTAACAGCTGAAACATGGCAAGCGACAAGATCCGGCAGTCTAAGGTGCAGTGGTGACTTGTGCGTAAAATTATTTAAAGTGGAGTAGACTTGCGTGCAGCATTTACCTCACCCATTATTACCACCCGCTGTATTCCAGTGGTGAGACAAGGTCAGGAGAATGGAAGTCGAGCATGAGCGCGGTGACTGACAGCGTTAGTTGGCCCATCCAAACGTGCTACGTGACCCGGTCAATAATTCGACGGACCCTGCTCATTGCACATATGTGTGTCACCAACGCCACACCAAAAAACCCGTTGCACCCTGACTTTCATCACATAGGAGGTTCGAGTTGTCCCTTCAGCTGGCAACTTTTGATGCCAGGACTTTTAGCCGTAGTAATATTTCCGAACGTGTCTGATTAATAATGTCGGGAAACTCTGTACAGCTGCCACGACTGCGAATAACTCAGTGTCGGCCTCACTCTTCAACTGACAAATGGTCTGTCCATGCTTGTCGGTCGATTGGCGGTGGGATTGGACGTAGTGGCTGGCGTAGCCTGGGCCTCCGTCTAACGGGTTTCATAGTTATGTACGGCAATAGACGCAGGCGACTTCAGTGCAGCTGGACAAACGCATGTCATGAGCCACTGACCCGGTTTTGGTTTAACACGACAGTGGCGCAGCTCGCTTGCTGGGCCCATGCCCATGGAATAGCACGTGTTCGAAACGCACACTTATCGCAAACTAGACATCAAAATTAGAAGAATTTTTCGTAGACGGTTGGAGTCGGTACTAAGACCTTGACTCTTATTCCGTAAAAATTGTTCATACGAGTCGTACCACTTTCGGTCTCCGTCGTTGGCGAAGAGAATGGGTTGAGCTGCCCAGATCTGCTGCCGCGGATCGTCACGCATGGAGAAGTACAGTTCATGACATCATCGAGACCGGCTAGATCAGGCATGATCGCGGCCGTATCAAGTACAAGTACTGGTCAACACTCGTTTCCTGCATATTTGAGCATGGCCCCTTATAGTGCTGAGGATCCGCCCGGAATGATCCACCCCTAAATCTCTCTCTTTTGACTCGGCGAGCAAGGAGCGAGGTGTACTTCATGCTAGGGGGGGGGGGGACGTTTCCTCTCAGTTGTCGGGATAGGTGAATGTCTTTCCAACCATGTACCTCCGAATCTGATAGGCTCGGCCACCTCAGCTCTTATCCAGTCTAAGAACGCCTCGGCACCCAAGTATAACTGCCAAGTCCGCTGTCTACAGTGCATATCCTTGGTGCTATAGCCAAACTGGAAAACAAATCACGCGCTAAGGAATATCGCCCAGCGGAAACATACCAGCATTAAGTATGATAGCCAATCAATTGCGCAGTATTCTGACTGGAAGTGAGGGAAAAGAAGTGACCGAAGTGACGTAATTGCACGGGTCTTTGGGACAAACGACAGATTGTTATGGTAGAAGTACCACTGCATAAGGATGTTTAACATTGTCACAAACGTCTTCTCAGCCGTCATCTCCAATTGACTCTGCATGTATCGCCACAAACTGATTATAAAAAATAAGTGCTGCAGCAATGTGTTGATTACTACTTGCTTTGCGAATCCTCGAGCACTGCCACTGTCCCCAGCAGCTTGCTGTCTGTTTTGTGAATTTTGCTTCTGTTCTCGACTCAAACCATCACGATATTGTCTTTGGAACTGTCCACCTCCCCAGCGTCTTCACTTTTTCGGGGGGTTATTTTCGTGGCGTGACCAAAAATTATGAAAGATGATAGACATTGCGTCCCAGCAGTTCGACGATCGGAGGTTGCGCATGCATCTACCACCGACTAGTAGTGGGAACCATCTCACTCATACCACTTGTACCGCCTTAAAAGGTGAATTAAGGATCGTGGCAAATAATCGCCATCTCTCCTTAATAATGCGCTTCATCCTTCAGTTCAGCGAGGACTTATCAAATAAATCGTTTGGAACGGTAAGCTCGGACGTGCACTGTTTCCCCCCTGCCTGCTCGTGCTGAAGGCAATCCCGTCACAAGGTTTCCACCTCACTTCACTCGTCTCATACTGGCAGTCGGACCTCGGTAAACTTGGTAAAACGATTTTTCCGGCGCAGCGTCAGTAGAAGTGCACATCAGCGTACAAAGTCATGTATCTCATGTCATAATTCGGAAGTTTATGATTACATAAGCTTCATTTAACCCCGTTTCCCACTGTAGGCGCTCTCGTCAGTCACCGTCTTCGCACGCCGCTCAGGGAGCCATTCGCATCTCTCATGTATCGATAAAGTCTTTCGCTGGCCTGTCAACACCACCATCACCTGTTTTGAACTCCAAGGTTAAAACAGTTGTTCTTGTTCCCATCGACCATTGACACCAGTCTCAGCAGACGGTCCGATTCCGGCATTTAACTCGTCGGAACGCTTGCCTCCAATCGGATCAGAATTACGGCGTACTATCTTCTAGTTAGTGTATTAATTAAAGCTACGGGACCGTTGTAAGACCAACCTCGCCATCTCAATTTAAATGAATAAACCTAAGATGAGTCGTGGGCAATGAGCGCTTATCATTTGTGGACGCTTCATTTGCAGAACAGCTGAGATGTCTCAAGTTATCTAAAGGCGTGACACACCAATCTCGTCATTAACGAGGTTACTTATTTTTTGCTTCAGCTTCCAGAACTGTGGCTTGGACGATCCGGGGCACGCCCTGCCACGAAAACCGAATGTCGGCAGTCATCTTAATACACTAGATCACATTTCCCTATAAAACTACGTTGCGGCGGCCACCTAACGACGCCGTTGCGTACTGTCATACATAATAGAAGATACTGGACTCGACAGCCAAGGATATCCATTAGTGTGAATGAAACTGATTGAAAATGACCAAGAGCTTTTACTACCTGACAGCATGGAAGGATCTGACCAGGAACATCCCTGAAACGACTTAATCGGTAATGGTCGTACCTGCCACAAGTGTAGAGATAAGTGAACACTAAAAATCGATGCGACGAGTATCAGCGCCGTTCAGTAATCTCACACCATGGAAATTACTGCCTAACGCCTGGCCCACTTTTTGTAAGTATGCCTTTTTAGTATGCTGCCGACGTCACTGACCGACTGTAAAATTTCGAGTGTTCAGGGGCCCAGCAGAGATTAAATATATGGACATACCATGCCATTGTCTCGTTCTGCCATCGTTCGTAGTACCGTTAATTCTTTTCTTGGTCTATGACTTCAGAGCCAGGAAATCGTCCATTTTCTTGTTCGACTTCCGTCATGGGATCTGTAAACATTTTCCGGTGATTGGTGGGCTAGACGGATTATGCCCAGGTGGGAGGAGCTCTGTGGTTCACTTTTGGGCGGATGTTGAAACCCGCCATTTGATTGGTGATTCATGTTTTTGTCAGTGGAGACTGGGACAAAGCGTCGAAGCCTAAACGGGTTCAAGCGCGCATTGCGATTTCTCCCGCCTCAGGTCAAATAATGTCGCTTTTGCCTTTACGTCTGCATATATCAGCTCTTAAACACATTGTTCTGGTTCTTTAGATGAACTTCTTCGACGATCACTCAAAGATTATCCTGTGCCCCCTGATGGAAGCAGTGACCTACATTGACCCAAACCGTGATTTCAAAACCTTCCGCTTCAACCTCCTAAAGGCCAACGGTATCACCGAAGACCTCAGGAAACGGCTGGTATATGCGAGCAGCATGATTGATTCGCTCGCTCACAAGTCATACGCTCAAACCCGGACAATCTCTTCGACCGCCGGTGGGCAACCGAAGCCATCCCGAACAACCACAACCAGTACGGACAGTGCAGTTAAGGCTGCCGTAGCAGCGGGAAAAGCAGCTGCGGCTAACGCTCTTGCCGCTGTCGATGCTCTGAAAAAGTAGTCTATTTGTGTTTTTTTACCAATAAGTCTTTTTGAACTAACGAATGAATACAAACTTGCCTTCAAGGAGTTGGCAGACCCACCAATCTGGCTGGTCATTCACCGATATCTTCACCACAGTTTTTACTTCCTCATCCACTTGTAAATGTCCACGCTTGATGATTAAAGTTCAAATGGTGGTTTTCAAGCCCCTCCTTATTGTTTTTTTTTCAAATTTAAAACCACATGGACCATGTCCTCGAGAGAAATATTCAGAATCTACCCTTACACACCATCAAGTTTTGTCGCTGATTTTTACCTACGGATTTTAACACCATGCTTCTGTGAATATCTCAGCTTCATATACCGGCCGATGCCTTTAAACCACTTTTCTGTCCAAGCAACCTGAAGGCTTACATCATCATTAGTCGTACGACTTATAGTGTTGTGTCCCTGACAGAGGTTAGAGGTGAGAGCTCTACGCCCACCGCGTTCTGAGCACACAGCTGTATGCTCATCCCGCCAGACCATAGTTAGCATATCTACTCTATATATGTTTGACTGTGGGCTTTACGTTACGCTACCTCACAGAAATTGGCTGTGCACTCAGAAACTGGAATATTGCAAATAAACGGCAGCCCATCTGATAGTTTGAGCCAAGATGGCCAGCATGTAGGCCGCACACAGTCACGGTCCGTCCTGCTCCCCGATGGCTAGAAACAGCGAACAATCTGACTTTCGGTGTCTTCAGAGGCCAACGTCGTCACAAACCCGATGAGGTCTTTCTTCGCTACATATGTCATCTGCTGCTCAGAAGGTCGTTTTAATTTAGGCCGAGTGAGGCCTTGACGTTGGGAAGGATCTGGACAAAAAATGTTCCGAACATGAAAGTTTCTAGGAACTGTCTTAATGTACGGTACATGAGTGCAGTTTGGTAGCTAGATTCTCTAAGCAAATTCACTGCGTGCGGTCTTTTTTAAAAGCGCCAAAATATCATATATGACTCCTGTATTAGTTTTCCACAGGATAGTGTCAACATTCCTCAGCGCAGTCGATCGCTCGAATCACTCGCGAACCCTCCGCAGTGTCGCCAGATAACCAGTCCCGTATGTTCGGTCGACAGCTGTCATGTGCACTTGAGTTTGTCACCCCGTCCCTACACACCCAGCGGTCGCATTGATTTGCCCATACATATACGCTTACACGATGGGCTTGTTAGAACAGCACAGCCTAGGTTCCCCTGACACCAGCACACGCCGCGTCGACGCAACCCGTGCAGGGCATTGTCGGTCATGTGTGTATGTATGTTAGCGATACACCCATCGTGGATGTGAGCACATTTGTTTTCGTAATAACGGACAAAACACCGCGCGTGGGTCAGTGCATCGCTCACTAATGGGAGATGTGAATTTGGACAAGGACCGACTCATAGGATGCGAAGGATCGGCGCGTAGATGGCGCGCGTAGACGGTGGCTTTGAAGCCACACCAGACCCTGTGTCCAATGCTATCGCTAGGTAGCTTGATTCAGGCGACGGGCGCGTAGGAGAAGGAAGGGAGTTAGGCCAGTCGGGCGATTTATTTGCATTGCAAACGGGCAAGGATTCCTTAAAGCTGTGGCAACAGGCCAAGAGAGTTGCTGACTGAGTTGGTAAGTCAGTCCTACACAGCATTGAGAATGAGATCGCAACGACTCTTTCTGAATGTGTCCTTTTACCGCACTAATATGAGGTGTCAAGCTCCCCACCTTTCGGAAGACTTGTTCGTGTGAAGATAGGGGCGGGGTGGTGCGTTCCATCTGCAGACGGACGACTTGACTCCGTCGGGTACTGCACCCGCGCCCTCATCTACTCTTGTCTTGTCATGGTGAATGTGAGGTAGATGCTGCAGGGGTTTTCCTTATCATGAACGCAATCGAGCCCACCTTATCATTTCGCCCTCAGGACAGTGATTTAACTAGTGGCATGCGACGGTCGTCTTGGCGCCGGGTCCAGGAGGCTACAGAGGGAGAGAGTATGGTAGATGCAGCGCATCTCCTCTATCACTATGAACTAATACACGCGCAAGTCACCGTCCCTTCACCCGCCCTGGTGCGGGGTACGTGGTGGACATCGTCGGTAACGTTGGTTGGACTGTCGTTGCTATTATTCTAAAGATTGCATACTTGTTGGTCTCAGCATTTTCCCGCACTGCTGTTATGTAGCTGTCTTCCGTTCCTTGGCAGCAGCAGTACCAAACTGCAGTCTCTTCATTACTTTCTCCTGACTCCATAACCTGCGCCTTTATATTTGATCGGGACGAGGACATGTTGCTGCATGTTATGACTAGGACGAATATCTTTATGTTTGGTACAGTGAGTGACCGATCTCTTGAAATGTTAACCGAAATTTCGAATTGAGTTTTCGATTAGGAAGGATGACTCAAATGGGCTTGTAATGCTGATTTTCTTACGGCATAGTCGTTTAATGTTTCCGACTTGGCAGGGGGTCGGCTTTTGGATGCACGTCTTTCTGACCTCTAGGAACCCTACTCTGTAAAAATGGCTACTTAAGTAGCGTGCATTTTCCACATTGATTTTCGATGGTCATAGAAATTCAAGTATATTCCATGGAAAACATGCATAAAATATGCTTTCCTTTATTGCCTTGGTAGAGGCTAGCGCCTTCTTTACATTTTATACTCGATGGAGTATAATTAGGTTTTAAAAGTTTTTATCATGAGATTTTTAAGACCACGCAGTGTAAATTCATACAGCAACGTACCTGCCCACTTACCAATGCTGCTCATGAAACGTACAGCATAGTCCAAGTTCACGGCAAAATTTTATGAGCTCTATATGGTATCTTAAAGGCATAGAGGAATATGGGATTTTTCCTACTCGGAAAGCATGCTCCTTTTAGACTCAAATCAGTCAACGCCAATACAACGGCAGATCAAGCTCAACATTATTCGGGAATCGGAAGACTTTTTAAAAATCTAATTATACTCTTTCTTTGAGTATGAAATGCGAAGGTGACGTGATTCTCTATCAAATGAGAGAAGGAAAGCATATTGCTCTGCATGTTTTCCATAGAATATACTTGAATTTCTATGACCACCGAAAATCAATGTGAGAAATGCACGCTACTTAAGTAGCCATTTTTTACCAAGTACGGCTTCTAGGGGTCAGAAAGACGTACATTCAAAAGCCAACAGCCTGCCAAGTCGGAAACATTATAGGATTATGCCGTAAGATAATCAGTATTACAAACCCATTTAAGTAATCCCTACAAATCGAAAACGCAATTCGAAATTTCGGTTAACATTTCATGAGATCGGTCACTCACTGTATATGACTTTTATAGTTATTTCGGGCGAGCCACATCCCCAGAACCTACTGCGTCTCCAAAGAGGTGCCGTTGGTTTATATTGCGGTTGCCGGGTTTGGAATGTAAAGAGGAAAAACGGTCGATTGGATGACAGAGATGTATGAAGAAAAAGAGGGAACTCCCCTCACTACATCATCCTCGGTGCAATGCATCTCATGTGGCACGACTTCAACGATGACTCCTTTCATGGGCGGAACTGCTGACTGCTACGTTAGTACTTTAACAGGACTGGATGGAATATCGTTCGGCTCGGTGGCGGCAACCATTAAGGTTGTCCGAAAGTTCTAATAAGACGGAGGTTGTCTTTCTGTCAATTCCAGTGAGCAGACGTAATCAAAATCATTTTGGACATTTTGAGTACTTCCCCAGTATTCTCTGCCAGATCTGATTTGATGAGGGCCTTTGATGGTATATCACGTTTACTTTCTGTCGTACCGGCTCGAAAATTGCAGTCTTTCATCAAAGACGTCAGCCTTTGAACGATGCGGTTGATAATTTTCCTATCTTGTCTGCATGTCACCGAAGACGGGGTACCTGCCGGCTGGCGGCGATAGTCGCTAGGGACGCATAACATATCGTAAAATTCAGTAACAGAATTACAACGTAACTGGCATAAGCCGCTATCAGGTTCAAAACAGCTGAGCAGCTGTGGGAGAAAAATCTTGAACAGACGAAATGGGCAAACTGTTGGTGATCGGCCTGTGCCGGAAATCCCCGAGATAGTTCGAAAAATCTGCGCCCGACTAAGTCGGATATAGTCAGGGCCGTATGAACTACGTGTACCTTAGTATTTACGAGCCGCTTCCGTCTACTCCAGCCTACCGGATGGGCATCCCAAGTTCTGGTTTAGAACTAGGTTCTACATCTAATATCTGACCCTCGACTCTGTTTCTGGTGCATGTTTCGGGTATTTACTGTTTTTTTTTCGGGCCTCCTACAACAAGCCACGCAGGGGTTGCGCTGTACTAACGCGATGCATTTCCTGTACTTTGTACTTTTATTGTTCCTTCCTCTTCAGGGAGCTTGGTATCAACGTCCGATTTTTACTTTTCATATCTTGGGATTATTCGATTTTGCTGACTTGATGCCTGAGTGATGAGATCCGGACGTCGCTGGAGGTTCTGGTGGTCTGTTCGTAATCATCCATAAATGATGAACGCATGTCTTCGGAGAATATTGTGTAATCATGTGCCCTTCGAATATCGCATAGTCTTTTGTTTAGTACTTTTGCCGCAAACAGGGCTGTGAGGGTACTCAAAACCAATGCGTAATCTTTCTTCGCACCCTCCCGTCTTATTCTTATTAACTGTCGTGGTATACTTTGTGTGCCTCAGTCCGCATCGTGCATCGTCTTTACCGCCAGTATCTTCAATAATTTTTCATGACCACGTCTACTAAGTGTTAGAAATGCGACCGCAGTCGTACTGATGTTGTCTGGCGTCTAGTCAAGCGAAGGACGTCGGTTACGACGAGGAACCTGTGTTCTGTGCCAGCCTTCAGACGACGTCCGTTGCAGTCTTCTACGCCTGGAGTACCGATCACTTTTGACATCGCCTCTGTCTAGCCGCGCATCAAAGCCTCCCAGGTCGGTAATTTTGCCAGTCTTAGAGACTTACACTGAGGGAGTGCAGATTGTCATGGAAATCATACATTCG